TCTTATGAATAATAGAAAATTAATGTGTGTATAACATGTATGACTTAAGTAATTATTTTGACAGGCCCCGAGGTTAGACTTCAGAACTATTGAGAAGCACTTTCAAAGAAGTATATTGTGATATCCCATGGTTTCTGGGTTAGGACCGGGTAACCACAGGTGGGAGATGCTTTACTATGATCTTATATCCAAGAAAGATGTCCCTTCACACAGATAGGGACATATAGTCTTGGGTTAATTAAGTTGCCCAAGATATGCAACTAAGAAATGGAAACAACTTAACACTCAAAGACTCCAAAGTCCATGTGTGTAAGTTAGATAGAAGGGAAGAATTTAGGAAGAAAATTTTAAAATGTTAGAGTTAATATTCTACATTGTATTAATTAAAATATCTGTACAGCTAAAAAAAATATGAATGATGTAAGATGGATAGCTTGAGACAGCAAGTAACATACTAATGTTTGAAATGACACAGCCTGAACCAAAGTGCAGGAATCTTCAGCTTTCTTCAGAGATTTTCAAGCTATGTTCTACCTAAAGCCCTACCAAACTGTAGAGTATTAGATATTTTCATTTTGGTTTCTAAGGATCCTTTTCCTCTTACCACATTTTTTTTTCTTATTTCAGGTTTCATTGTAGAAACTCAAAAAGGAAAGCTTCTCCAAATGATTTTTTAAAATCACTTTCATTATCTTCCACAGTACATTTCTGCATCTGTAGGAATTCCCATCATTTCTCTCTGCTTTCTCCTTCCCCTTTTTACTGACCCCACAGAGCATTACAGCAACATTGTCTTCCAGCAACAGTTACAAGTTCAACATTCTGCTGCCTGCATAAACCATGGCATTGTAGGTACAAAGGCTGAAAGTCCAGCATCATTTTACTGAGGTATATTTAATCAATAATTCTTTACTTTTATATGTATTCTTATTATAGTATCATCTACATCAATAGAACGCACCTCCTTTAGTGTTTTACAGTTTGATTATTAGGGCTACATGTGTCTTCTGGTACATTTTCCGATTCCGGATACAGAACGATTCCAGAATCCCACAAGGTTTCCCACACCCTTTGCTTTCAGGTTACCTCCATCTGCCACTCGAACAATCGGTAATCCCATTTCCATCACAACACATCAGTTTTTCCTATCCTAGCAATGCATACGATTGTGATGATAGTGTGTGTTCTCTGCTGAAAGCATTCACTCACAATGAAAGCACAGGCTTTTCCTTTGCACTATGGCATGTATCAGTAATTTGGTCCCTTTTTACGTTTGGGTGGTATTATATATTTGTATGTGCATCTGTGCACATACCATACATATATATATTCACACATGTAAATCTATATATATATATTTCACAATTGATTTACATATGCATCCATATTAGCTGTCATCCTAATTTCTTAAAGATGTATTTATTTATTGTAAGAGTAAATCAATAGAGGGAGGGAGGGAGGGAAAGATAAAGGGACAGAATGATAGAGAGATAAATAAACAGAAAAATATAGGAAACTTCCATCTGCTGTTTTATTTGCCTAAGATTACAACAGCCACGGTTGGCCCAAGCCAAAGCAGGAAGCCAGGAGGTGTATTTTGGCGTTTATGAGGGGGTCAGGGTCTCAAACACTGCTCTCCGCACTCCCCTGGACTACTTGGGCAGCCTCAGGTATCTTAATTTTGCATCCTGCTTTCTAATGGCTCTCTGTTTATCTTCCCTAGAAGCAGGAATTGTATTTTTGCTACTACATCCCAAGCCAAAAAACTGACCACCCTTTCATGTTTACACATTAGTGTGTGGGTTTGGCAGTTAGGGAAATTCACATGAAATCTTTAGAGCATTTAGGAAAACAGATAAAGGAATGAAACAAACATTGTACATGCAGCATTTGCTTTTATTTATGCTATACATCATCACTGTGAAAAAAAGTATGACACTGTGCTGGAACAGACTGCCCAAGTGATAAAGATGAAAACATGCTGAGGAATTCCTATGACTAAAATCCATACGGCTATCCTGCTACCAATGGATTCCATTCCAGCTAAGTAAGAGGAAGTAAAACTGATGGCTTTAATATTGAAAGATGTTGGCTTTGAAACACTGTACATGCCATACAATATTATGATTTTATAGTTCCAAATAATAACAGCAATCAATATTTAATTGAGGTATGAAATCCCATAAATTTGTTTTGTAAATACATTTTTTATGAAGTACCTCTATACAGTGTTATTAGTTCAAATCCAAACAAATTTATCAATACATTGGACACATTGAATTTGTTTCCAGATAATCTGTTGAATATGGGATTTTGAGAAGCAATGCTTCCTCTTTTTTTATTTTTTTAAATTTATCTCTGATGATTACATTGTTGGTTAGGATGTGAAGGGTCAAGGGCAAGAAAAAAGTGGGTGAGATCAGTATTTCCACATTCTTGTTTTGTCTTAAGCAGAGAAACCAGACCAAGTCTCCCAATCTCTGCCTCCATACCCAAGGATGGGAAACGGCCACCTGATACCATCCCAGGGTCCCTGATATGGGGCATGCTCAAAAGGTCCTGCTCAAATGGTTTTGATAGAATATATCTGAAATGCTGTCAAACTTGCCCCTCCAAACATGATGAGATACCTCTGTGATCCATTGGCCTATATAGTCCACCTTAAAGTCTGTTTGCCCAGGTATCCATGCCAACTCCTGGCTGGTTGATCAACAACATGAGTCAATCAATTTGTTCTGCCCTCTGTTATAGTGCCAGGTATCCTCAGCAGGCTCCAATGGAATGCCATATCCTCCATTTCTACATGAATATGACATCATATCACTGCCAATACTTGGCTGGGGGAGGTGATCGATTTGTACTGTCCTCTGTCCTCGGTCACGATACCAGGTGTCCTCTGCAGACTCCAGTGGACATCCACTGCTCTGTCTAAGCCACTGAGGAGGCCCAGCTCTGACACATACACACCACAGTCACAGCATGGAACCTGCAATTCTCCCCGTGGTTGGAATTTTGAGTCCAGTGGTTCCAGCAGTTGAGGAATCCGCAAAGGAACCTCATCGTAGGTGATCCCAGACCTGATTGTTGTATGTGCTTGCCAATACAGGGTCTGGCTCAGTCTGTCACCCATATCAGCCTACACACACACAGGTGGTTACAATTGCTGGGTGACTTCTACTTCCAGCCTGGTCTCCTATGCAAACCAATGGGTGTTGTAACTCAGCCTGATCCTGCACACCACACACTCAGCCTTCACGTAAAACAGTAGGAGTTGCAGCCTAGTCAGAATGACCCCCAGTAACTCCTACCAGGCCCGCTCCCAGCCCTGGTTTCCATGCTTGCCAGTATGTACAGCAGACTGGTCCAGTCTATGCCACATCCTATTTAGCTCTCGTGCATGTCAACTGTGGGTACAGTCAACCCAGCCTGGACTTCTTCTAATCCAGCTCACATGAGGCCAACACGTGTTGTAGCACTGCCTGGCCTGATCTGCTGCTGATCCTAGCTCTCACACTCACCAGTGGGAGTAATGGCCTTCTCCGACCATCAGAGTCAGTAACATAGACAGGGAGAGGGTCTGGGAATGAAGCACCGACAGGAGACCAGTGATGGTAGAAGTTTGCTAAGTCTCTCTTTATTGCTCCTTCACCTCTCCTTATATACTCTTCCCCTTACGTCCTAATTTAGCCAGGATATTAGATACAGATGAGTCCCATTAGTCTACAAACCCAGTTCCTGTTTCTGCCCAGACCAATGAGCGCTAATCAACTCCTTAGCCCACAACAATGGTCCAGCAAGGGAGCCCTCTGCTGCCCCCTGCCAGGCTCGTAAGGGGTAACCCTCCTCCCAGGGTTTCATTTATGCTGGTTGGGCTCTTTGGGCCAGTCTGGCCTGGCCTGCCTCAACCCAGTATTTGCCAGTAGGTGCTGCAACCCGGTCTGGCCCAACCTCAGTTCCAGCTCACTCTGGTTGGTGCTACAGTCTAGCCCAACCCAGCCCATGTAGCCACCAGTCCTGACCCTAATGTGAACTAGCTGGTGATGTGGCCTGACCCAGGTTGCCCCACACATCATTCTGTTTCTTGGATTTTCCAGCAAGTGATAGGAACTGGCCGAGTCTGACTCACCCCCAACCTGAGCCAAATGTATATTGATGGATACTATAACCTGGCTTTGGTTGGGCTGCTTCCAGCCTTGGTTCTTGTGCTTACCTGCAGGGATTACGTCCCAAAGCAGTGTTCCCCAAGCTCCTCCATCTGAAACTCTTCCAATACCAGATCTTGCTCACACCGATGGGTTCATGGCCCAGCCTGATTTAGTCTACCTCCTGTCCTAGCAGGAACAGTGGCCTTTCCTAACCGGCCTTCACCCATTCCATTTCTTACTATTGAGTGTTACAGCTTAGCCAGGCATGATCAACACCCAGACACAGCTAACACATGGCTCAGCAGGGACAGAGACCTAGTCCAGCCTTTCCTACACCCACCCTCATTCTCACAAACACCAGTGGGTGTTGAAATCTAGCCCAGTCTGGCACACCCCAGAACCAATTCATACCATTGCCAAGGGAAACTTCAGTGATGTCCAGACCAGATCTCAGCCCCCAACCCCAGCCTTCATGTTCACCAGTGGGAACCACCACTTAGTCAGGGCGTCACGTTAGCTCCCCACCCAAGCCTTTTCCCAGGCACAGACCTTGTGTATACCAGTGCTGCTCCGACCCAGCCGGCCATATCCCCTCTCCTGTCTTGGACTTTACCTCCGGATGCTCAATGATGGATTTCCTTACTCATTTCTTGTTCTCCAAATCCACTACCCACCTACCCTAATCTATTACAAATTCCCTTAAAGTAAATTTCCAAGAATACACTGATTGAGAACTTCAGACTCAAGAAATCATATCATTTCTTTGGAGCAAAAATATATATAGGCACACAAATGTACGTGCAGGTGGTATTTCTCAATATATGTACACACCCCAACAAAAACACAAAGAGGGAAGTGCTTTCGGTTTCTTACCACACTCGAGAGTAGAAGAGAAAAGCCATGGCTGGTGAGTTTTTTTTTCCTGTTAAAAAGACAGATTTTATGGAAGAAATCTTTCACAAGAGCCTGTCTCTTCTGGAAGCTGGGCATTTAGCAGACTCGAGGGAGAGGTTGGGGAAGAAGCAAGGGAGGGAGAGCTTTTAGAAAGGAGAGGTCAGGGCCAAAGGGGAGCTGGCACTGTGCTGGAAGCCTGCTGTTATTTTGCAATCTTAACTGAATTCTTAATATTAGGAGTCTGGCAGAGCATACAGAGCTGGCATAAAATGAATAAGAGTAGCCATTGTCCTCCAAGAAAAAGAGCTACTGTCTTTTCATTATTTTATTGTTTGAAGATGGATAAAAATACTCAAGAAAGGATTATCTCTACTTTGCTCATAGTAATTTGAAGATCAAAAAATCACAGTTTTCAGACTACTGTGTCAGCATCTAGAGCAATATAGATTTTTAAAATGAAGGTTGGGGGTACCACTAGAACAAGAGAAGGAACTGTGTAGACAAGGATGTCTTGCTGGTAAAATTTAAGGATGCCATTTCCTGTGGATGACAGCAGAGCAACATGAGGCTGTTTCCATGATTTGAAAAGTCCCTGTTCTCTAACCAGACAGGATTCTGAAGGAGAAATGGAGCCAATTTATCCGTTCAATGGGCACAGGCACAACAAATGGCTTGCTGGATGAGCTGCTGGAGAAAAGAGTGCTGAACCAGGAAGAAATGGAGAAAATAAGAGTTGAAAATGTAACAGCAAAGGATAAGGCGCGAGCTTTGCTATCTTCTGTCATTCCAAAAGGGCCGGAAGCATGCCAAATTTGCATCAATCACATTTGTGAAAATGACTATCATCTCGCTGGACTGCTGGGGCTGTCCTCGGGTAAGGATGAGCGACCCAGAGCTCACACCTGCCTCTGTCTCTGTGCCCAGCATCTCACTGCTTTGTGGGTCACATTCATTTGCAGAAATCTTCCTTATGCTTCATTTCTGGGGTCCAGTTTTCAATGTGAGTGCTGCCCGACAATTCTCTTTGTTTATGTTCTATTCATGTCAATGTGTTTCTTTTGGCTGAAACTCAATTTCTATCCAGATTATGGGGTGATTCCTTTATTGAAGTCCATTAGAACTGCCTGACAATTTACACACTATGGGTTTCAGTTCTCTTAGCAAAGTCCTTTATTAGTATCATTAACCAACTAATTAGCTTTGTTAAGTAAAAAGAATGAAATGCATCAATAACTATCTGAAATGAAGATTTAAAATGTGTCATGAGAAATATTTTAAAATATCTATGCAACATTTTGCTATTTGTGAAGATTTTATTTCAGTGATGGTGGAACACTCAGAGAATGAGCTGAATTTTTTTTTAAAGTGGAGAGTTGGTTGTTGGTACATAGGGTAGCAAGGTAAGCCTCCACTATCGGTGCCAACACCCTCTCAGAATGAGTGTTAAGTTGCTCCACTTCCAAGGCAGTTCCCTGCCAATGTGCCTGGGAAAGCAAGGAGTACAGCCTAAATAGTTGGGTCCCTGCATCCACATGGGAGACCAAAAATAAACTCCAGACTCTTGGCTTCAGGCAGAGCCAGCTCCAACCAGTCTTTTTCTCCTCTCTCTGCAAATATGCCTTTCAAGCATCAATCAATCAATCAATCAATCAAATCTTAGAAAAGCAAAACAAAAAGGAAGGATTTTAATTGAACTATTCTAGTTTGTCTCTTGATTTCCATTTTTGTTTGTTTGCTTGCTTTTGATTTTGTTTTCGTTTTGAGGAAAGATATGTGCTAGTTCAGTGCCAGGTTGTGGACCATGCTGTGAGATAGAGCACTTTCACTTTTACTGAGAGCGATCACGAAGACAGGAGTTACTTCCTTTGAAACAGAAAGCTTCCTTTTTCTTTGGGGGCTTAGTGAAAACATATGCCTGTCTAAACTTTGCTTGTAATCCATTTCAACATTTTCATATCACTTTTTCATTTTATGTCTTCCGCAATAACAACAAAGGTCAAACATGATTGTCATAGGGTCAGTGTTGTGGGGCAGTGGGTTAAACCACTGCCTGTGATTTAGTCAACCCATATGAGCAGTTAAAGTTGTTGATGCTCCACTTTCAATCCAGGCTGCCTGTAATACTCCTAAGAAAGCAGCAGAAGGGCCTGGCACAGTAGCTTAGTGGCTATAGTCCTCATCGTGTATGAGCTGGGATCCCATATGGGTGCCCCATTTCCATCCAACTCCCTGCTTGTGGCCCGAGAAAGCAGTAGAAGATGGCTCAAACCTTGGGACCCTGCATCACATGGGAGACCTAAAAGAACCTCCCAGCTCCTGGCATCAGATTGGCATAGATCTGGCCACTGCAGCCAATTGGGGAGTGAAGCAGGAGACGGAGAGCTTTCTCTTTGTTCCTACTTCTCTCTGTAAATCTGTGTTACCAAGAAAAATAAATGAAGGAAGGAAGGAAGGAAGGAAGGAAGGAAGGAAGGAAGGAAGGAAGGAAGGAAGGGAGGGAGGGAGGGAGGGAGGGAGGGAGGAAGGAAGGAAGGAAGGAAGGAAGGAAGGAAGGAAGGAAGGAAGGAAGGAAAGGAAGAAAGTCAGTCAGTCAGTCATAGATAAGGTGTTTTCTTGGCTTTCCCATTTCCTTCAGTGTAAACTATCCTGGAGGTGGGGATGCACAATCCACTCACTGCTAGATCCAGCATCTGCTGTCTGTCTCTCAGTTACCAGGTTAAACCCCAGGGTCATAACACATACCAATTACATAGAATATAGGAATGTGCTCCAGTGGAAACGGGTTTTCTAAAAGGAAGCATGTAAAAAGTATTCCATTTCTGTTACATCGAAGTTTTGTCCAACGATGCTCTTGGGTTTATCAAAGAAAACAGCCCAGCATTCATTCGGAATGGTGGGGCAAAATGTAGCCTATTTCCCTGGGTGGAAGCTCTGTGGGGCAGCCTGTGACTGTCACTCTACTCAGAAGAGGGACATCAAACATATTTTCCTGTAGAAATCTTACCTTCAATAAATGCTATGAAATGAAGGTTTGGAGTATTTCTCATTTTTTAAAGATCTATCTATTTTTATTGCAAAATCAGATATACAGGGAGGAAGAGAGACAAAGAGGAAGATCTTCCTTCTGATGATTCACTCCCTAAGTGGCTGCAAGGGGCAAAGCCATGCCGATTCAAAGTCAGGATCCCAGAGCCTCTTCCAGGTCTCCCATGCAGGTCAGGGTCCCAAAGCTTTGGGCCGACCTCAACTGCTTTGTCAGGCCACAAGCAGTGAGCTAGATGAGAAGCGGGGGCTACTGGATGGGAACCAGCGCCCTTAAGGGATCTAGGCACATGTAAGGTGAGGATTTTAGCCACTAGGCTACCACACCGGACCCATAATTCTCATTTTTAAGTTCATGTAAATTCTTTGTGTTTCTTGTATATATTTCTTATGTGGGCATTATTTTGAGATCTTATAAAACTGTAAGTATTATTAAATGCAACCCTTTCTCTAGGAATTACCAATACTTTAGATCATGACTTTAATATGGACAACATATTTAAGGTATTTTATACAACCAAAGCATGTACTTTAGAATTCCCAATGTTTTCAGGTTATGCCTTCTAACATAAACAGTAAATGACCTTTACTCAGGAGAGTGCAGGAACTGTGGTTGGTGTTCCTGTTCCAATAAATAAATGTGAATATTTATGATCATATACCAGTTCCCTACATTTCCTACTCAGTGGTACTTATGAAATTTTCTTGGTCTTTTGAAATTTTCGCTAATGAGCTAATGTTTAAAGGACCCATCCAGGAAATAAAAATACTTATATTGTTAGTCATTGTATTACTATCTTTGGTAACAGTGATGTTATAAAAACAATGTAGGTACAGCGCAGAAGAGAGATCATAGCATAGTGGATAGAGAAGGATTGCAGAATGAAATTCCTTTAGAATAGGCTGTGTTATATTTTCCTTATAATTCTCTTCTATAACTTCACATTGAATTTATTGTCTAACCCACATGTCAGGAGTGTCTCTGGATCATGAAGATTTTGCTAGCTCATCTGAGAGATTATTAATATTTGTGTGAAATAAATTTAAAACACTTTCCAGAACTTTATGAAGGGATTGTACTGACTTCATACACGCGTTTTTTCCATCACCTTTCCTTCCGACAGGCAGGCTAAAACATTTTGTGATCCTTAGTAATTTTCTGACATGCATCTTCCATCTTTTCCAGGATCAAAAGCGATCCCCTTACTCATATGTCTCAGGCTTGGGACTTGAATTTTTTTTATTCACAAGCTTTATCCAACTAATCAGGTCACCACCATTTTCTACTGTGATAAGTGAGCAGGCCAGGTGTCCAAGCACAAATTCCTCTTTAATGTCATCTCCTCCAAAGCAGACACCTTTGTGTTTAGACCATTTCCTTATTTACACAGCTGTTAAAAAATAGCGTTGCCCCCATCTTGACATAGGTGGCTGATGAGAATTAGAGATTCTGTGACCGATGATGTCTCATTTCCATTTCCATCTTCAAAAGCAAATGTAGAGGGCACTGGTTAAATGCTCTCTTACTTCAGATATGAAGAGGCTGCCCAGCTAGGCTATTCACAAGTGATGCTCCCCACTGAGGCGTGTGCATCCAAGGGAGTGGCAATCTGAACACAGTAACCAAACACAGTGAGCTCTGTAGCAGGAATTTTTTTGCTAAGAGTATCCAATATATGTGGAGTGGGGTCTTGGAGACGATTAGTGACTTTGAACGCTCTTCATTTTTCTACAGGTGTTCAATGTGAAAATCACCTTAATACACAAGATTCTCTAGCGATATCTTCTGCCCCTTCAGGTAATTTTGTGTACAAGTGAGTAATGTTCTTTGAACCCCATATTCCCAGTCATTCATTCAACAAAGTGTGCCCATGGTGATGGGGCTAGGGAGTTAGAGGATTCTGACAGACTGGTACTGTGTTTTTTTATTCTTTTAATTAATTCTTCTTGAGTACAAGTTGTTCTTCATTGCCCTCTCTGTATCTAAACTAACAGATTCTAAATCTGGGTCTCAAACAAACTTCCCTCTGGAGTGTCAAACAGTTTGCAAGTGCCTAGTGATGATATGCGCTCATGTCTTTCGCAGATATATTTACATGCACGGTGCCCTGGTTGCCTCGCCTTCTCTCCCAACACCTCTTCTCTTCAACTCTTTCTTCTTTCTGACTTCCAACACTCAGACAGGGACTAAAATTGTTTATTTCTTCCTCCACAATGGTTCTGTATCTTCATTTCTAACTCTAACACCATGTGTCACAGCTATTCTTACAATCCCTATGTTCTCTAGCCTAAATTTACATTCATTTTTTCCTATAGAATTTTACAAATCCATTGTTTCATCTCAGAGGATTTAAAACTTTCTGACAAACGTAAAAATGTGTGACTCACTCTTAAGTATGTTGCTCCCGTCATCATACAATAGGCATGCGATCATAATCTACTAGACCAGTTCATTGATAAGTTGATCAAAATAGCCATCATCTACAAAGTCATTAGAAAAAAAAATATGCATTACATGTCATCTGAGTTCCAAGACTTGTTCTATGAACTGATTACATAATAATTAGCAAGAAAAACAGATTTCCTAATTATATTGGATTTGCATTAATGTATGAATTAAGAATCTCCATCAGCAACTCAAAGTTATGCAAAACAGTAGGCATGGAACTGGCACAGTACTCACCAGTGTCAGATAAATATCCTACAGGTCTTGTATAATGTTGAGTTTTTATAATTGCTCACACATTATTGAAACATCACTCATGTAAATCCTGTCTAAAATGTCAGTTTTTATAAGGGAGAGTTCTCTCCCAAATCAGACACAAAGAAGGACTCTGATATTTGCTACATAGAACACCCAAACAATCGTTACAACCATACTGTAGGAAGAGGGAAGTTTTTGGTAAACTCTGAGTATGATCAGCATTTATCTAGTTTTTGCCACAATAATTAACCACAAAATCTTTCACTGGACACAGAAGTATCATAGTAAGTGCATACGTCCTGGATGAGCAATGTTATAAAATACTGAGTCCTATCATAGTTAATGTGCACTAGATTCCTTGTTAGCAAATTCTACTTTTTTTCTTCTTTCAAAGATTGTGGCCTCTTTCTTACCAACTAATCAATGCCTATTTTTCCTGGAATAGTTTTTCATTCACAATTTTCTATTATCTACATAAATTAATTTCCACCTTAAAAATAATTAATTTCTTTAGCAAAATTGTCTCATTTTCAGATGATGTAAAACTTTTGATCAAATAACAGTCAAATTTTCTTTTCAATCAAACTACTTTGAAAATTCTGGCTCATAAATTGTAGCTCATAAAAAGATTTATCCACATAAAACCTTCTAGTATGCATACTTATTTTCTCATTTACTCTTTTTATTAGAGTCATTGTATTTCATTTGATAAATATTACTCCTCCTTGTGATAAGTGTGCCCAGGAGAAAGGCATCGCACAAGACAAAATAAATGCTCATACATTTTAAAAGTAACCTCTCATACCAACCATTATGCCTATTTAATATATTAAGCAATTAGATGAGCCATCTAAAAATTTGCTACATTCACTTTAATTCCGAAGTCAATCTCTTGAAATAAATTTGTATTTTAATTGTCTTTGTAACAGGGCTGCTCTCCTAGGGTGTGTGTCCTCCTCTTTAACTTCCCGCATAGAGGATGTTGTGACAAAGGTAAAAAGAGGATGTAACCTCTCACATTGCTTCCTGCCTCTTTCAGCTCCACAAGCTATGCAGGACACTGGAGTTCTCACATTCTCGGGTCCAGTAGGGCGCCTCAAACTCTGCCCATTGGAGACATTTCAGAAGATGTGGAAAGACAAGTCAGAAGAGGTGCTGTGCTCAGACCTGGTGGTTACTGAAGGACAGTGGATCTCAGAGGCAATTCTGTGGAGTGGTTTTCTAAAATCACCCTGTTGCTTGTCTTACATCAAAGATTCCTGTCCTCTACAGTCCTGATTTTAGTGCATGTTAAGTTTACTCCAACTCCCTGTGCAAATAGTAATAACAACCATGACAGCTACTGCATACTCTCTATGAGCCATTGTTCTAAGTGTTTTTCATAAAAGCTAGCACTTTAGAGATCACAAAACTAAAGCACATGGCTGTTAAAGATGTCACCCAAATTCAAACAACCAGGAAGTGGATGCTTCAGTTTTAAAATTCAATCATTTGGGCTTCAATGCATGTATATTTTAAAATTCTAGCTACTAGGGGCTGGTACTGTGGCCCACAGGCTATACCTCTGCGTTTGGCACCAGTATCCAATAGAGTTGCCAATTCATATTCTGGCTGGTGTAGTCCTTGCTTATGGCCTGATAAAGCAGTGGAGAATGGCTCAATTCTTTGGATTCTTAGACCCACATGAAAGATCCAGAAAAAGCTCCTGGCTCCCAATTTTAGATTAGTTTAACCAACCATGGCCACTGTGTCCATTTAGAGAATGAACTAACAGGTGGAACATTTTTTCTGTCTCTCTTCATAAGTAAATCTGCCCTTCAAATACAAAATAAATCTTTAAAAAATTATAAATTATTTATAAATTACATGTTTATAAATAATGTATAAATTATTAAAATGAATCCATAAAAATAATTCTCGCTGACAATAATCAGATGTTCTGCTATCATATGGGTATTTCTAGCTCCCATCATAGTAGTAGGAGGCAAATTTTTCTTAATGTATGATCTGTGGAATGTGGTTTCTTGATACCAAAGAAGAGGAAGCCACATTAAAACTGTAACATGAATTTTTAATGAGAGCCATCCTGGTTGCTAACCCAATCTATATTTCCTGCAGATTTATCCAATGATAATGAAAAGTCCAGCTCGTACTCGTCTTGCCCTCATTATCTGCAACACAGATTTTGACAATCTACCCAGAAGGAGTGGAGCTGAGGCTGATATCAGAAATATGAAGATGCTGCTAACAGGTCTGGGCTACAGTGTGGATGTGAGAGAAAAGCTCAATGCTTTGGTAAGGTTATAATACTGAAGAGGCAATGGTCATGTTCTTCATCCTCCTACCTAATGCTAGGAAGCTTGGTTACAGCACCAGGAAACTTAATATTCTGATCCTTTAAAATCTACATGTGCCATGGGATGGTGGTTAAATGCTTTAAATCTCCTTTGAATGCAAGAAGCTTTATTGATAGCCCAGCATTTGGATATAGTTTATTAATTTAATAGTGCTCCTTCCCTCTATGAATAACCTCTGACCAGCTTCGTTTAAGAGTATGCTTCCAGGGCCCAGTGTGGTGCCTAGCTGCTGAAGTCCTCGCCTTGAACATGCCAGGATCCCATATGGTCACTGGTTCTAATCCCGGCAGCCCCACTTCCCATCCAACTCCCTGCTTGTGTCCTGGGAGAGAAGTCAAGGATGGCCCAAAGCCTTAGGATACTGCACACACATGGGAGACGCAGAACAGCTCCAGGCTCCCGGCTTTGAATGGGCGCAGTACCAGCCGTTGCCGTCACTTGGGGAGTGAATCATCAGATGGAAGATATTTCTCTCTGTCTCTCCTCCTCTCTGTATATCTGACTTTGCAATAAAAATAAAACAAATTAAAAAAAAAAAAAGAGTATGCTTCCCCAACATTCTCTGAATTGAGACTTACATATTCTTTTCCAGTCCACTGGTTTTTCCAAAATTCCTTATGCAATTCCATAAATGTCTCTCTTTTTCAACTTTCCAGGTATAATGATTTCCCTTGGTAAATCCCAAGGTGCAAATTAGCATTTTGTTTTGTTTTGTTTTCAGGACATGGCTACAGAGCTGAAGGCATTTGCTGACCGCCCGGAACACTGCTCTTCTGACAGTACTTTCCTAGTCTTCATGTCCCACGGAACTAGGGCTGGCATTTGCGGGAAGAATTACTCTGAGCAATGTGCAGACATACTAAATCTCAACACGATCTTTGAGAAGTTAAACACCAGGAATTGTCCGAATTTGAAGGACAAACCCAAGGTGATCATCATTCAAGCCTGTCGTGGTGGTGAGTGAGGACATCTACTAGAGCAAAAGACAGAATACTGCCTCTATCATCTGTGCATATCTGCTGTTTTTCAGTTTAGCTTCATAATAAATAGCGCAAATTCTCCCCTGTCAAGATTATAATTTTTACTGAATTGTATGGCTAATTGGTAGAGATTGCTTCCATTTTCAACAAAAATGATGGCATTTACTCTTCAGAAATTGATACAGTTTGAACTCTTTGGAATTTATTTGAGTGTTGGGGAACAAAAGGGTTGTTAAAAAGACGGTTCTTGGGCCCAGCGTGGTAGCCTAGTGGCCAAAGTCCTCGCCTTGCATGGGCCAGAATCCTATATTGGTACTAGTTCTAATCCCAGCGGCACGGCTTCCCATCCAGCTCCATGCTTGTGACCTGGGAAAGCAGTAGAGGACAGTTCAAAGCTTTGGGACCCTGAACTTGCGTGGGAGACCTGGAAGGGGCTCCATGCCCCTGGTATCGGATCAGCTCAGCTCTGGCTGTTGTGGCTGCTTGGAGAGTAAATCAACAGATGGAAGATCATCCGCTCTGTCTCTCCTCCTCTCTGTATATCTAACTTTGCAATACAAATTAATTAAATCTTAAAAAATAAGATGGTTCTTAAGGTAAAGGCATGTATGAACAATTTATAGAAGCATACGTTATCTCTTAATTCAATGTTCTGTGAAATTTTAAAGTAACACGTGTGTATGTGTACAAAAAAAACAAATAAGAAAGTAATGCAGTTCAACAAAACTTTAGAGGCCAAATTTGACAGGTGATAGTAAAAACACACACATACACTGCTTTTCTTTCCAGAGAACCAAGGAGTGGTATGGCTAAAGGATTCAGGAGCAGATTCTGGATGTACTTCCTTACTGGCTCCAGATGATTTTGAGGATGATGCCATTAGGAAAGCCCATATAGAAAAGGATTTTATTGCTTTCTGTTCTTCAACTCCAGGTAATGGGATTCCTGGTAGGGTATCTTTGTGGGAGACACTGACACAGACATCTACACCCATGCATTAAAGTGGCCCCCTCTTTATATGACATTATTGAAATCAACTCGTGCTTCCCTCACAGTTGCTTATTGAACTCCCTGTCTTTAGAGAGATCTCATCTAAGTATCTTTTCACTGATACTCCTAAGTGGCAGAAAATATTCTCCCTGAATCTCTAGGAAATGAGACAGAGGTAAACAGAATGGAATGTGCACTGCAGTTTGGTGGAGTCCACCTCTGCACAGTAAAGGCCCTCAACTAGCGATCGTGCAACAGTTTATTTTTCACCAATTTTATATTTAGGTAACGTTTTCTTCATACAAACACATGGTTGATATTACTTGAATTTAATTAAATTACCAGCAAAGTTCACATGTAAAAATTAATGTAATTAATCTGAATAGTCTGAATATTCTGTATCCCATATTCTTGCAGATATCTGTGATGCATCACATCTAATCCTCAAATATATTTTTATGGCAAGAATCATCAGTGTGCCCCTATTACAACTGCATTTTAGATAGTGTAATTGTTTAACTCGGAGACAGTAAGTAGTACTCCTATGATGCACACAGAGATATGTTTTTCCTAAGGGCCCAACCATTTCCTCTTACAACATTCTACCTTGTCCTCTTCATGTAATGGAAGCTCTTTGAGTTCAGGGATGAGGCTATCTTAATATCTGCAGCATAACCAACACCATTGCTGTATATCAGGAAAAACGGACTCCATTTAGGATATTTGCTAATAAATGGAAGGCAGAGTTTAAAATGCAGAATGACCTCAAAAACACACCCCAAGTGCAGTGGGAAGACAGAAGCTCTCTCTGTGTCCAGGCAAGAGCCTGATGTGACATTCGGAATGTGCCTTATTTACAGACAATGTTTCTTGGCGACATCCCATTCGTGGATCACTTTTCATTATGAGACTCGTCGAAATCATGCAAGAATATGCCTGGTCTTGTGATCTGGAGGAAATATTCCGTAAGGTAGGACCACGGATGTTCCTTTCACTCTAATCCATAGGATTTGGGTTCTTCCAGATGAACTATTTAGGGAGCAGTTCTGGGAAGTTGTACCTTGTAGTAATCCCATTCTTAATGAAGGAGCGTGGAGGATCTTTAGTGAGTTAACAAACCAGGCAGCCAGAACAAACTATGACTTGTAATACCTGGAATACCATCATGTTTACACCCCTTCCTGCTCTGGGTAAACAGCTGCTTGGACTTTGACTTACCTGTGGGTAGAACAAGTGTCATACATAGCTGGGTAGATATGTCTGGGAGCTCAGGCCATATTTCAACACGTACTGCTGATTCATAGAGAAGTACATGGTTTTGTTTTTATTATTTTGTCATACTCTATGACAGTTTTCTATTTCAGTCAAGATCCTTCACTCCAACAGAGATTTATAGGCACCCCTTCTCTTTCAGGTTAGATTTTCATTTGAACTGACTGAAGGTAGGGTGCAGATGCCCACCACTGAAAGAGTGACTTTGACAAGACGTTTCTATCTCTTCCCAGGACACTAAGATATGTGAGTTTTATCAATGTCTACCTCTAGGTGTGTGTGTATGTGTGTGTGTTTGTGGTGGGTGTGTGGGTATGGAAGCTGTTGGGGAGGCGCGCAGGGAAACTGAAGGAAGAGCACTGAAACTCAGTAATGCTGATTAAGTTTTCTAGACCTGCGATAATCAAATATGGATACAGATGAATTTCTCCTCTTGACTAAAAAGCACAATGTGCTATAGCTACAGTCCTGTGGCGTTAGAAGCCTTGCTCTCATGAAGAGTGGGCACAGATGAAGAGATAACCGTAAGACAGGAAGACTCAACGGATGTTTCTGCTCTCTGGCTCAGCATGGGATTGCCTCTTCATGAGTGTGCATGACCCCACTTGCGGGGTGACTGACCTTATAACTTCAGTAGCTTTTAGCAGACCCATTCTTTGTTTTCCTTCCTTTTCCCGTAGCAATCTAAGAGTTTTGTAATTCTATACCTGCTTTTGGAATACGTTGGCTGGAAATAGATATTTCTTTCAGTAATATAATAAATCTGAAATTTGAAAATGAAATGTTGTCCTGGTTTATTTTCACACTGGAGAGACAGGAAGTGAAACTCAGCAATAAATTTGGCGGCCTAAGACTTTACTTACAAAAGCTGAGCTGGATAATATCATCATTCTTTCTTTCAAAGAAAAAAGTGTTGGGCTTTCTGCTTCAAGGGCAGATGCAAAGAGCAGTGGATAACTGATTTTAAAGACTACAGAACTGAGCAGGAGGGGTGCAGGAAAGGATGGCCGTGAAGGTGACAGCACAGTGTACTGAGCTACACCAAATCCCACAAGTTTTTACTAAAAAATTTTGACCAGAACCTGTGCATTTATCTTACTGGTTAAGGTATTTCGATAGTAAAATTTATATTTGGTTCATCTTTATTCCTTTAGTAACTCAGAGTCTCATTGGGAAGATAAGAAAATGAACAAATAGGAAGCTGTTAAAAGACAGTGTGTCTATCACACACTGGAAAAAACACTAGGACACGATGCTCTTGTGCAGAGCAGTGAAAAGACATTTGGTGTTAAATCATTCACTCAGCAATGCTAGGTTTAGGGCAGACTGGAAAAAATACTCCTCCCACTCCCGAAAGTGTGAGTCCTTTATGATCATGATCTCATTTGAAGTGAAGGTAAATTTATGACCTTTGGAAAACATCAAGGTTAAATTGGTCATTGTCTGCCTGTTTCCTGCTTTGCTGCTGTTCTTCTGCAGGTATCTGTTTTGTGCAAACATGCAGTCATTCTCCTACAGGCAATGACTGCTCCTCTGATCAATCTTTGTGCAGAGGATACCAAAAAACAAAGGTGAACATTCACCCAGAGTGAAAATTAAATGTTCAGGTAACCGGAATGGTAAAGGAAAAGTAAGCGGGGAAGTTGAGCAGCCGTCCTTTAAAACTATCCCCAGCAGCAGATCAAGATAATAGGGACTATAAAAAAATAATAGAATTTCATATGACCAGGTGTACACTCCTAAAGAACAGTGGTATTTACACTTTCTACTTGTTGAATTGTTTATTTAGTAGATGATAATGCTTAAGTTCAAAAAGTAAGTTAAAATATTACAAAAATTAAAGGAAAAATAAGAAAAGGAGGAGGGAGGGGGATAGAAGTGGTAAGGGTATTCATTCCCTTGATCTTAGCCAAAAGACTGAGAAGCAATAGCAACATATGTTCTTAAAGGCTTACATGTGAAATACATGAAATTGGTCTTCTGTATAAGAAAATAAGCTGATTTTTAATTATATTTGGGAGGGAAAACACTATATTGGTAGAAATGACTTGTACAGGAAACAAGATATTCGACTAATTCTTACCTGCGCAAAAAAGGAAATCTGTGAGACAACTTCCTGAGGTTCTGTGTTTACGCTTAAGCAGAAACAAGGATCTGAAAAATCACAACAAGAATGGAAACGAGATGGTGTGGGAATGTGGAGAGAGATTAGCTAAGAATCAGGTGTAAAGCTGGAAGACAATGTTTTGAGATTTCTATAACAAAGGAAGAGGCTGAAGTTCAGAAGTATGTAACCAATTTGACAAAACACAGGGAATTTCCTGAAAATGGGTGTGGAAGTTTTGATCAGCAGTTTAACAATTTCTGGTTAGATGCACCGCCCTCCAGATTCAGGAAAGACTTGGTGACTTTCATTTTCAGTTCTGTTTCTTCAACTCAGTAAGGCACTGAAGCTGTTCCTGATGGCTGGTGAGTTTGGGTCCTTTTCTGAATAGAAGCTAAAATCTGGGTTTTAGAAATGCCTTATTCATTGCTCCGTAAGAAAAAATCCTTTCCTTACTAGTTGTTTGCAAGCCCACAGGGCTAAATTTAGAGAAGCTTATGGAAAGAATATCCAGATGCTTTTGAAAAAGAAACAAATTGGTTACTTTCACCTTCTGATAAAAAAAGGAATGTAGAAAGAAAATGACTTGTTTAACCTACACATCTGAATGTTTCTAAATGCACTTTGAAATGTTCTTTACTTCCTCTTGATTCCAAAAGTTTTCCAGGTTATAACTGTTCCAAGAATAAGAAACTACAGATTTTGAAATTCCAGGCTGTTATCTTCCCTGATCTTTTTCAAGTGTTTCTATTTCTCTCGCACCTTTGTTTTCCAGCTGCTCTTGTAAAGCACAGCGCGCTGCTACAGGTTGTTGTTTTCCTTGTTGGCTAGCTTCCCCACCTCTGGAAATAAATCCTTCAGCTCATCCTGCACAGTCCATTAAGAAACATCATCTGTGAGGCGCAGTCTTAAAATCACACCCCTGGCTGCCTCTTTGATCAGGTTGGCGTCATTGTTTTGGATTAGAATCTGTTACTAGATCAGAGAGACTGAAAGGCACTAGATGCAAACAAGTAATGTGGCTCAAAAAAATGTGAACTTCACTTGCTAGTATGAACTAAAGCTCAGAAAAAGATTCCTAACATCAGCTTGCCTCAGACCAAAACTGTGCACTTGATTACTTTTGTACTCCAATTTGTTCACTCTGTTTTTTATTACCACTGCATACTTAACAACTACAATCTCAGTAAATAATTGGGGACAATTGTTTTTCTTCAACACTTTTTATATGACAGATTTTCCTTGCATTGACTCTGAATGAATTTCTGAAACTGCCTAGCTAAAGTTGTATTAGTAATACCATTGTGTTGATGGATAAAATATTTGTAAGAGTTACATATGTTGCCTTATGTTGCCTTAGGTCAAATGTCTGTTAAGTAGAGTGAGCCCTTGTTCACCTCGCTCTCTCTCTCTTTAATGATTTATTTATTTTTATTTGAAAGGCAGATTTACAGAGAGAAGGACACACACACACAGGGACAGAGAGAGAGATTTTCCAGCTGCTGGTTCAGTCCTCAAATGGCTGCGATGGCTGGAGTTGAGCAAATCCAACCCTAGAGTCAGGAGCTTCTTCCAGGCCTCCCACATAGGTGCATGGACGTAAGGACTTGGGTTATCCTCTGCTGACTTCTCAAGCCATAAGCAAGGAGCTGGACTGGAAGTGGAGAAGCCGGGACTAGAACCAGTGACCACGTAGGATGCTGGCACTGCAAAGCAGAGGATCAGCCTGTTGAACCATCACACTTGGCCCTGGCCTGGTTCTTACATTTAATACTGAGGCAGCACTGCAGTCTTCTATAAAAGTCTTTAACTTGTTCCTGGTGTCTGGAAACTCCCACCTCAATGGTTGTTATACACCTGTACTTGTTCTAGTGGTGTTCTTCACAGACAGACATCCTAAAGCCTTCGTCTGCCTGGAGATAAGGCCTCAGCTTGTCCAAGGGGCATATTCCCACTAATCCTTCTCATTTGTGTTGTTCCCTCCCTCTGTTGTGCAGCCATATTCTATTCCATGCTGATCTATTTCATGCATTTCTTGTGTCTGTGCCCATTATTTAAATGACTACAGTATTTCCCAGGAAGCATTGGAGTCTAGCATTACAAAATGTTATCCTGAGTACTAACAAAATATTTTTACAAACTTTGTTCATTCAGTATTCCTGAATAAATGGGAGAATATATGTGCCTTCTTTCTAGCTGAAGAACTTTCCAAATGCTCCTATTACCAGCTAACTAACATCACATCTACTTACTTATACTTAAGCATTCTCCAAGACTCAGGTTATGTTTGCATGTTGTTCTCTCATCCATCCCTACATTCATGTGATTATTGATGCAGTAGAAAATTCTCAACCATCCCCTGAATGCCAAAAGTCGCACCTGTCTATTTACTGACAGCAGGATTCATGGAGCAGAAAATCTAACGGTGAGATACTCGTAGATGGACTAGACATCAAAATCACGTGGAAAAACTGATAACCTAGGGAAAGATTGGCTTTTTCAGGAACACATATTTCTGACATGCTCACAGGAATGGATGGATAAAGGACAATCTGCTTAAGAAAGTTCCATCTAATCACAGACTAAGAAGAATCATGATAGCAGGAAGGTCCCCAGGACTGGATAAGAAAGAGGAGCTGAGTATAGCGATCTCAAAGCCTTTGAAGAAACTGAAGGGTAGAATATATAAAATGTGATCAGCAAGCCTAGTGTAGTAACACGGCTAAAGTCCTGGCTGCCAGGATCCCATATGGGTGCAGGTTCTAATTATGGTGGCCTCACTTCCCATCTAGCTCCCTGTTTGCAGCCTGGGAAAGCAGTTGAGGATGGCCCAAAGACTTGGGACTCTGTAGGAGACCCAGAAGAGGCTCCTGGCTCCTGGCTTTAGCTAGGCTCAGCTCCGGCTGATGTGGTCGCTTGGGGAGTGAATCAGCAGACAGATGATCTTCCTCTCTGTCTCTCCTCTATTCTGTATATCTTGGTTTTCAGTAAAAACAAATCAATTTAGAAAAACATGTTAGCAAGGCAGGAACAGAACTAGAAGATGAGACTGAATGAGATCTAGGTTGGATTAAACTGAAACTTCAATGTATAAATCTAGATAGCGAACACTCCTATTTCATTATAAAGAATCTATGAGAAAAATAAAAGCATAATTATAAGATTTTTGGACTGATTGATAAAGGGAGGATTTTTAACAAATCGGAAGTAATAACCAGAATTGAGATAAGTGATCAGATTTGAAAATATTTAGCAGATAAAAATCAAAATTTAAATTGAGGTAGAGACTTTATTTGAATGGCATAAAGAAAAAGATTTTCTATCTGCTGGTTCTCTTGCCTAATGGTTCAGAAATAGAGTAGCTGAGACTCAAACTGGTGCTCATTTGAGGCTCCAGAACAGTTGCTTAACTGACTCATTCAAAACACTGGGCCCTAGAGTGATGCACAAGGAGCCAGAAGAGATGTAATCTCAACAGGCTTTGATATTTTCCTGTACATGGGAGTTAAATATCATTTGCTAGAGAATAAAAGTTTAAAATAAACCATTTATTTGTAAACATTAAATATAATAAGTTTGTGAGATATGGAAAAATATGGCTTATTAACTGTTGAATGGATGATTTATTCATTTTTATTACAAAGTCAGATATATAGAGAGGAAGAGAGACAGAGAAGAAGATCTTCCATCCGATATTCACCCCCAAGGGAGCACAATGGTTGGTTCTGCGCCAATCCAAAGCCAGGAGCCTCTTCCAGGTCTCCCACATGGTACAGGGTCCCAAGGCTTTGGGCCGTCCTCGACTGCCTTTCCCAGGCCACAAGCAAGGAACTGGATGTGAAGTGGACCTGCCGGGATTAGAACTGGTGTCAATATGTGATCCTGGCACGCTTAACGTGAGGACTTTAGCCGCTAGGCCACTGTGCTGGGCTTGAATGTATGAGTTTTAATACTGCAACATACATCTAGATTGAATCTAAATATTTTAGTCACTTGCTCATTACCTATAATCAATGCTGTAAATTTTTACAGATTAAAATAATGTTTGCTTAGTATTAATTACCATGACCTTATATGTTTATCATTTTTGTGTGATGAAAGCGACTGAAATATAATCTCAGCAGTATTTATTCATTTGAGTGGCGGCAGGGGGCAGGGGTGTCCTGTTGATTTATTCACCAAATTCTTCACAAGGGCCCGAGCTGTGCTGGGACCAGATCCAGGAGTCAGGAATGTAATAGAGGCCTCACGCAGGAGTACTAGAAACATAACCACAGCTCAGCAGCAACAGGAAGTTAAAGGAAGGTGCTGGAGCCATGAAGTAAACCCAGACACTCCAATGTGAGCCACAGACATCTTAACAAGGCGAGGACTCTAGCCACTAGGGTACAGTGCCAGGGTGCAGTACTTGTTTTTGTGCTTTTGATACTAGACATTCTCACAGGTATGATGTGATCCATCATTGAGGTTCTAATTTGCATTTTCCTGATTATTACAAATATTGAGTATTTTCGGGTATCTTCTAGCCATCTTTATGTACACTCTCTGTTCTGGTCCTGAGTCTAATTTTAAATGGTTTATTTGATTTCCTGATATTGAATTTTTGTAAATTTCCTCTGCTTTGTTATGTGAAAGCTTGAGCTATCTCATTTTTTAATCTTCAATTTTGTGGTCTGTATTTTTGTCACAATATTCAAAACATTGTCGCCCACATCAACATCATAGAGCATGTCCTATGGTTCTGTTATTAGTATTAAAGTGCTGTATTTGAGTATGTAACACATTCTAATTATTTTTTATGTGAATGAAATAAAAGTGTGTCTTCATTCTTTTGCATGTGTCAGTTTTGCTTAATGGCACTTAAAGAGACTCTTTTTGTCTCCAATACACGTTCTTCACATCACTGTTAAAATTCAGCTGCCTGTAAATACTTGGGTTTATTTCTGGAATTTTTATACTGTACCATTTTCTATTTCTATGATTCTATGCTAGTAACATGCATACTTGGTTACAATAGCTTTCCAGCATGTTTTATAATGAAATAATGAGATAACTGCAGTTCTATTCTATTTGCTTACGATTGCTTTGGTTATGAAGAACTTGAAGAACTTCTCAGATTTCTAAACAAATCTTAGGGTTGTTTTCTCCTATTTCTGCAGAAAGTGTCATTGGCATTTTTATAGAAATCGCATTGAAACTATAGGCTGTTTTGTGTAGTATAACCATTTTAATATTTTAAATTCTCCCAGACTATGAACATAGAGTACCTTTTTATTTATGTATTTTATTCATTCTCTAACATAAATGTTTCATAGATTTTAGTGTAAACATCTTTCATTTGTCTGGATAAACTTACATTTAATTTTTTTATTTATTAGAAAAATTCTCAAATTGTATCAATCTTGTAGATAGTTTTAAAGTGTATAGAAACATTATTTTTAGATGTTGATTTTGTATTCTGAAACTTTATTTAACTCATTCACTAGTTCTAAACAGGCTTTTGGTATAGTCTTTAGAAATTTCTACATATAAAAGATCACGTTGTCTATAAATGTGGACAATTAATGCCTTGCTTTCAATTATAGTTCTTTTTGTTTCTCTATTTAATTGTTCCAGCTTGGGATTCCAGTAACATGGTGAAAAAAAAAAAAAAACAACAACTGCAGTCAGCCTGGAGTAAACATTTCGTCTACCAGTTAATGTATTTTAACCAAAAAAAAAAAAAAAAAAAAAAAAAAATAAGAAAACCAAACCTTAAGTACATGGGAGAAGAAAAATGTTTGCGTTGAGTGGAAAGAATTTGTAGTTTAGCCAAGACCATGGACTTCCCTCAAAGAATACATTCTAGATGAGTCATTGTGATCCCAGGCTGAGAGCATAAGAAAAAGAGATATTAAGCAACAGTCGTCAGCAGCTCAGCATTAAACCTAATGCCACAGAAGGGAAGTGAAAAGTTTGGAAAACCTTAGGTCGCAGTGAATCATTCAACAAAATCTGGTGTAAATTTATTGAGATAAGGAAACTCTACAATGAAAGAGTTGTTATTCATGGAGGACATGATGAAATAGAAAGCATTTTCACAGCTGTTTCACATTATCCAAAGCCGGGTTTAAAGTGAGGGAGAAAAGTTAAACAGTGCCAAAGTTAAAACTGTCTTCTATTTCCAACAGAAGACAACAATTTCAAAAATACACTTAAGGTGCTGGAATCTGTGGGCAAAACTGTTGCGACTAATTTTATGGATAATTTGGTGGAAAAAAATGTGGTGAAATTAGATAAAGCAGAAAAGGAAAAGTTTTATAATGCCAAGACTCATGAAAAGGCCCAGATCTTGATGTCTTCTATGCGGGATAAGCACCATGAAAACAGTCAAAAGTTGCAACAAACCCTTTTAAACTTTGGTCAATACTCCACTGAACTCCAAGGTAAGACTGCACTCACTCACTATGACATTTCAGCTGTAAGACCCACTCAATGTCCTCTAGGATGGGCTATCCTTCCATTTCTGCTGTTTCATTTTCCCTAAATCGATCACAGCCACGTTACAGCTCACCTTGTCATTCATACTAATATTTAAGCTGACATCTTTTAAGTGTTTTATTTCAAAATTGAAATGACATCAAAATAATCTTAGTTTAAACAAAATCAAAGATAATGCGGCCTGCGGAGGTCAGTGACCATCCAGGAACCTAACAGGCATTAAAAGGAAACAATCGATGCGCTCAGCAAACCTGGCAACCAAAATGGGGCGTGTGTGGAAGCTTTCCTGAAGGACCAAACAGCTCCCTGCGTTCTACCTGGATTTAGCATTTCTGCAGTCCACTTTGAGTACTCTGTGCCAACTGAGTGAGCTGGAGTAGAAAAGCACTTGGACTAGGATGTACCTTTAAGATTCCTCGACAAAAGTACTGGGGGGGGATATGATGAGTCCAAATATGTATTTACTACATTTAAGATATTCACATATATATCATGTGCCAAAACTGCTAATCAAAAGTAATCACTTGGATTTTCACCTGATGAGACAGCTGATTCCACTGTATACCAGACTTCTCCTTTTCCCATCATTTCAAAGGAATTCCAGAACTTTCAGCTGCGAAGCTGACCTAATTGACTAAACTTGCAGATCTAGTATTTGTTTCTGTTGTACTGCCAGACTCGGGGACTGTCTTTGGGCAGAAGCCCCCTTTCCATATATATAACATGTTGTGACAAAGGGAGCTGTCTTCATACTACTTTGACTCCTGGCTGTAAGACAGAAATGCTAACTTTTTTTTTTTTTTTGCCTCAGTATTGTATGTTAGGAATTTCTCCAAACCTGTACATAGAAACTTTGTATTAAAAATTATACTTTCTCAACAGAGAATGTCCTAGGATTCTGGAGATCTCCCGAGGGGCTGAATTTCTTGGAATCTGGAAAGGAGAGCTTGTTGTCCCTGCATGGCATTCAGAACAAATTCTCAAAAGGTTTGACATCCTCACACATATTCTTCAGCATGCTCCTTCTTTGCAGCTTAAGTTTATGTCACACTTTCCAGAAAGGTAGTTATTGAAATCCTAATGAAAATGAGTAACCTAGGAAAAAAAATTAAACACTGAACTAAAAATTTCATAGAGGGTAATATTATTTTACCCATTTAAATAAAGTCAGAGAATATATTGGTAGGTCCGTATAACTGATATGAAAAACATGATTTTCTACATCGTCCGTGAACAGAAACCATGTTAAATTAGATCTCAGTACACTTCTATTTGTGAGCCCTCCTTTTCTCTTTTGGAGAAGAGTTCTTTAATTTCACAGTCTCTTGCCAATCTCAGACAAACGAGGTCAAACAATGTTGGAAAAAATATTTTGTGAGTAATTTTCTAGTGATTAGACCATTATGACACAGAAACAGACTTTTCCAAAATGAGTTAATTATGCATTTACATTCTTGGGCCTTGGCGTAAGCATCATTATAATTAATAGAATCTTTAAACCCGTGCCATCAAGTATTATATTTTTCACCTATATCCATCTAAATGGTTAACCATTTTTGTAGCAATGGGCTTCAATTATCCCTAATGTCTGCTACTTAAAGGAGTCATATACTCTTATTTTGAGTTAGAAAATCCTCCAAGCATGCTAATAAATCCAAAACAAATGGAACTTTGGATAAAGGAAAAAAGTCCATCAAATGAGAATGTATCATTTACTATGTCAGCCACTAACTCCATACATATATCTGTTAAGTATTTCAGTTGTAGCTTATTTTGGATTTATTATGGTAAATAAAATGTATCATCAAAAATAATATACCTTGCTTATTTTAATTTTAATGTCAATAGCAGGAAACTTTAAAACACACATTCAAGTCTTAGGATATTTCAGATGAATATACTTCTGATAAATATCTCAAAATACTCTTACTCAGATAACTGAAAGTCATCACGGCAGAATGAAAATTCTAGAGTAAAATCAATAATGAGAATCAAATTATTTATAACAAGTTTGGAAAGGACAAATTTGACACAAATAATCACGGTATCTTCTCCATAGTTATCACAGGATATTTTTGTTCTTTTGGGTGGGTCTGATTCTCCAGCAAAAACTACAAGCTCTCTGCCCTCCTAGAGACAATGTGCCTGCTAAGGGTAGAAGTTAGATTACAAGTATTTTATGCTAAAACAAAAGTTTTATTTCCAGTAGTTTCATCCCTCTTAATACTCACAGATAATAGATTGGATCATAGAGGCAAAAAGATACTTTACATTTTGTGTTGTATCTTTCAGTTTTTCCAGAAACCAAGACTATACCAGAAAACTTAGAAGAATCTACAGATACTCTCAAGCTCTGTCCTTCTGAAGACTTTCTGAAACTGCGTAAAGAAAAAGCTGAAGAGGTACGGTTCTCTTTGCTTGGAACAGAGAAAGGAGAGAAATAAGTGCTTTTGCTAAATGTAAAATTTCTTAAAGCGGTCAAGTCAAGTAATAGTGATAACCATTTGGATTAAAAAAAAATCATGCGTCTTCATGGAGATTCTAATCCTCTTCCAATCCTATATTACAATTCAAATCAATTTATTTATTTATTTATTCAACCTCTTGTCTATTTGAGATCCATGACAATTTTGGCGATAGTCAAAGAATCAAAAAAAGATTATGCACAAATATAGTAATCATTTGATTCTACTTCTAAATTCTTGACACTAAGCATATTTCAAAATATAATTAGTCTTATATCACCATAAATTGATGTTTATCAAAATGGTGTAACAATGCTATCTAGAGCATATGGTCTTAATTGCATTCCCTTATCATAGATTAAGTGACAAATTTGATCTAAAATTTGGAAGCTCTATGTAGATCTGACAAGGTTGAGAAGAAAAGGGAAGAGAGGTTGGGAATCGTTATCGCTTTTCAAGATTCTTGACTAACCATCTCAAATATCTCCTGGTTCTTTATTATCTTCTGGCAGAGGTTAAGGGAAAAGGCATGCATGTGTGATTATAGCACGGCAATGATGAAGCATGCATGGGATTGTAATACATAAGCCAAATTCACTTCATACACATTTCCTTTAGATCTACCCAATAAAGGAGAGAAAGGATCGCACTCGCCTGGCTCTCATCATATGCAACACAGAGTTTGACCGCCTTCCTCGGAGAACTGGGGCTAATCATGACATCGCAGGGATGAAGAAATTGCTTGAGGACCTGGACTATTCTGTGGATGTTAAAGAGAAACTCACAGCCAAGGTATGAGCCCCTCGAATATACCTAAATTCACGTACTGCCAACGCACATCTTCCACTAACACGTCAGGTTTCTATTGTTAAGCAAATGTTTTCACCATCTCAGATTAAATGTGTATGTTTGTGTGTATATGTTTGCAAAAATGAAAGCATTTTATAGATAAAATCTGTATTTTTAAAAAAAGATTTAAATATCTAATTCTGTGAAACTAGACAATCAAAATGTGATTGATGCAGTGTTTGGCATTTCAGCCTGAATATTACCCCCCAAAAATTTAGAGTAGTGTACATTGACCAGACATGCTCTCATAAAACAGTGAGTGTTGATTTGGTGTGGGCGGGGTTTTTAATACCAAGAAATGGTTCCCTGAGGTTTACATTGAACTGGCTAAAATGGAGAATAATCAAACTATAAGCAACATGGATAATTTCAGATTTTTTTTAAATATGTGTGTCTACATTAGCCTTGTAGATGGAGAGCAATATTTGAGAGTGTGACGAAGAAAAGAGTTTGTGAAGAGATGACAGGAACATGCCATAAACCACATGGCTAAGACGAGCAGCAACACCTTCCAAGTAGAAGGGATTCCAGGTGAATAGGATCCACTGAAAATGAAATGACACACAGAAGGGCTCAAAAAAAAGACCAGAAATGCTGAAATTTAAAGGAAAAGAGGGAGTATCCTGGACAGTGCAGTAGCATGAGAACAGAAGGTTGATTATATTTTAAGCCCAGTAGAAAGAATTTTAGAAGGAGAAAAATGGAAGTTTTAGATAGGAAAAGCTAATGAGATGGACCTAATTGCATGTAAAAGAAGACAGCTTTTCCAAGAAAGAAAAGACAAAGCAATCATAGGTAGACTCCAGATGAAAGTGCATGATCAGAATGTCACATACGTTGTCTGCGTTGCTCATTGGAACCAGGATGGTTGGACTAATTTTCACATTTGTCCTGCTGAAGTGACACAGCCTTGGCCTTTTCCAGGATATGAAATCAGTGCTGCAGGAGTTTGCTGCTCGGCCTGAGCACAGTTCCTCAGACAGCACATTTGTGGTGCTCATGTCTCACGGCATCCTGGATGGCATCTGTGGAGTTATGCACAGTGACAAAAAGAAAGATGTGCTGCCTTACGACACGATCTTCCAGATACTCAACAACCGCAACTGTGTCAATCTGAAGGACAAACCCAAGGTCATCATTGTACAGGCCTGCAGGGGTGGTGAGTCCTTTAGACGAAAATCTGAAAGTTAGGCGGGCGAGTATGACAGATAATTTGAATCTGCAGCAAGCACTATTAATCCCATCCAAATAAAATAAACAAAAATTAAGTTGATTTATTAAGAAACAAAACCTAAGGGTTGTAGTTCAACTCAGAAACTTAATCCATGACAGTAGTAGAGACTGTTTAGAATCCTGACATCAGGCTTAAACAAAAATATTCAAACACTAAAATAGGGTTATCTTAATGAGACTGTAACTTGCAAAAGTTTTGTAGGCCTTTTGATATTTATTACTTAAATGTTGGATCATAATAACAACACTTTTTGTCTCATACATTATTGAAGGATGAAAGGAGACATGAAGAGAACCGAAGTAGTGAGGTCAAAATGTTCACCTTTTCCCCTGATTTTTGATTCCTGTGCAGCTATTAAAAACTTTAATTTTCAGCAAAAAGGCAGAAATAATTTAGCTAATAAATGCTAACTATGCTCTGAAATTATGAAATTAAGGCTATACCTCTTTTCAAGTACAAGGGTGCTGCTGGTATATATATGTGTGTGTGTATATATATCTATTTATTTATTGGAAATATATAAATACATACATTATATTTATATACAATATTATATATGTATACATTTTTTCATTTATAAATATATTAGATTTTTTATTGGAAAAGGCAGTTATACAAAGAGAAAGATCTTCCATCCACTGGTTCACTCTTGAATGGCCACTACAGCCAGAGAAGAGTCAAGCCAAAGCCAGGAGCTTCTTTCAGGTCTCCCACAAGGGTGCAGGGTCCCAAGGCTTTGGGTCATTCTTGATTGCTTTTCCAGGCCACAAAAGGGAGCTAGATGGGAAGTGTAACAGCTGGATAGGAACCGGTGCCCTTATGAGATCCTGGGCGTCCAACATGAGGCTTTAACCACTAGGCTCTCACGCAGGACCCTCTGCCAGTATTATAGTAAAGCCTGTACTTGACCTGATGTTCCCGCTCTTAATTGCACTGTTGCTCAATGACACTAGAGGAAAGGCAAGGCAGCTGTATATGAAACTAGAATGAGCATTTCAAAGCAATGAGATGAGCAACTGATACTCACGTAGAGAAGAGGATATTGGTGCTTAAAAGGTGGCTGTCCCTACAGCAAACCGTGGAGAAATTTGGGTTAGTGACTCTCCAACCACCATGGCTGACAGCTCGTCAGAGTCACCCGAGAGCCTGCAGGATGATGCCATTTACAAGACCCACGTGGAGAAGGATTTCATTGCCTTCTGCTCTTCCACGCCACGTACGTATCTCTCAGTCCCGGACAGGGATTTGTGGCCCCCGTGTTATTTTTAAGTGATTGTAGGAAACTAAGATAGACTACAGATTTTGAGTCCATCTATTTGTATTGTCCTATCGGTACACAAACACACATGTTAAAAATATTTCGATTATAAAGTTTGCACTTTAATGGTGTTTGGGCATTTTTAAGGAGGTTTAATTAGACTGCTTTTAATTTACAAATTTTGTAACTTTTCAAATCTCTTTGTTGACTGCAAACTGACTTTAAAACATGACATACTAACTATACAAATTAATGTTTTAAAAATAAATACGAAACCAACACCATTGTCCTAGAAACATGTTTATTTTCTGAACGAGTCCTCTTTTCCTTCATTCTCTTGCTTCTTTTTGACTGTGACTTCCTTCCTCACTTTTCTCCAACCCTCCTTGCCTCCTTCCTCCTCTTCATCATCATTGTCATTATCAATTTGTCTCTGTGTGATAAGGACACAGCACAGGATCTGTCTCCCGTGTATGTGTGGTGTATCATTTATGACGCCGCTTTGACTGCTCACATTCTCTGAGTGCGGATTCATGTCCCATCTCCGTTTCTGAGGCCAGCTTCCTGTTGATGTATACCTGAGGGTCAGCAGGTGGATAGCTCAGCTCCCTTGCTCTCTGGCACATACATGAAAGTGTGGCAGGAGTTGCAGGCCTGTGTCTTTGTCTTGGCTCGAAACTGGTTCCATGGGCATCCAGAGAGTGAGCCTCCAGATACAAGATCTCTCTAACTCTTCTCTCTTTCAAAGGAAAATGAAATAAAATCCTCCTAGAGAAATAACCCTCCCTTCAGTACCTTTTTCAGTACATGATATATTATTAACTGTTGACACTGTATTATATTGTAAGTCTTTATGACATTTTGGTCTTCTATGAATCTATGTGTCCCTTCAGTTTGTTAAGATTGTGAAAGATATCTGGACATAATTTGTAACCAGGTGACTAGTTTTTACTCTTTCCTCATTGTATGTAGTTTGGAGATGTTCTCTGCTTCCTGTGAGCTTTCATTCCATTTTCTGTAAAATGAGATACTTCCAGTTGTGTTTGAAACCTCTTTGGAATTAAATGATTGAATTTAAGCACAGAATCAGTTCCAACAGCAATGCTGTCAATATGCAAATGTTTGCAATTCTAACAAATTGCCCCTTTAGCTTTTCTTTCCTTTGTCAGTGTTTTTTTTTCTTTCTGTTGAAAGTGAGTTTGATTGGTTTTACATGACTTTCCTAAACACATCAAGTTAGTGTCTAAATTATACATTTTTGAATAGTGTTCCCTCAAATACACAGCCTCAAAAACATAAACATGTAATAGTAACAGAAGACACATGAAAGCCCTCTCTGTCTTCACAGATAATGTGTCCTGGAGAGATGTCAGAAAGGGCTCTCTCTTCATCACACAGCTCATCTCTTGCTTCCAAAAGTATTCCTGGTGCTGTCATCTAGAGGAAGTATTTAGGAAGGTAAGATTATCTACACTTTTGTGATCATTCACTTAGTTGTTCATGACAAACTCTTCAGGAAAGCCCAAGTAGGGTGGTGCTTGATTTCTGTCATTCGGGTAACTCAAATCAGGTTTAGGGGAAAAAAATAAGATATGAATATGCCCTGTGGGATTGAAACACAGAATAAAACTGCATGAATTTTAAGTTTGTATGCTGAAAGTTGCAGAAATTATAAAGTATATCAAAATGCTTTCACTGAATAATTTATTAAATACATGTTTTAAGTGGTCTGTCTGGTAGACCTCAAATGTGTGACTCCTGATAGCAATAAAAGTTACAAATAAAATTATGTAGACCTGAGAAAGAAAACGAAGGAGAAAAAAATCCTTTAAATGGATGTTCTTGAGAGGATACATGAATACCTTTCCCAGTTCAAGGCATTTCTTATTTCCTGGCCTTCATTCATTTTTCTACAAATCTCTTATCACCAGCAATCCACAATAAGTTTTATGTGTGTGTGTTCTTTACTTGGCTTCACTCTCTTAAATGCAAGCTTAATGAAGGTAGATATTTGCTCAACATTACAATGTGCCTGACATATAACAGATAACCAATATTTACTGAATATGCAGATGCATAAATTTTTAAAAAGTTCTTTTTTAGAGATACTAGCGGAATTTCAAACACAGGAAATCACAGCAATCTTAGAATTCACACTGCACAGAAAAGTAAAGCTCCAGCAGGAAAAACAGGGTAGGGATCTACATTAGGCATTTTGGCTAGGTTACATTTTCAATGACAAAGCACCCAATTCTAAATGGAAGCACCTTGCTGGGTCAACAGAAATTAGACATTATGCTTTCAAAGGGATCCCTAGGAAAAGACAAGAAATAATGCAATCAGCAGAAGTAGGGTATCATTGATCATCTCATGATAAGCAAAACAAAAAACTGAAAGAGGTCATCTTTGTGGTAAGCATTTGAAAGTTATACGGTGTTCAATTTTATGAAAGCAAAATTCTGCCACTTGAGTTTTCTTGAAAAAAGTAGAATATCTTCCTAATTCTGGTTTTTGGAAGAGATAACAAAGGAAAAAGAGAACGTAGAGGTTGAAATATCTTAGATTAGGCATTCATGTGCATTTGGATGCAAAGAATCTCATATTTTATGAGTTGTAAATTCTGAAATACAGAGTAAAAGTTCTGGGAGTTTGCAATGCTTATGGGTTTGTTTTCATCAACCCTTGGAACAACTTCACTATGGAATATTTTGGTTTAGGATACCACATGTTTCTCCCACGAGTGCAGGGGCCAAAGGACATAACTGGTCTGCTGCTTTCCCAGATGCCTTAACAGGATGTTGAATTGGAAGTGGAGCATCAGGGACTCAATGGAATGCCAGCATTGCCAATATGGGCTAACTAACATTATGCCAACACCAGTCCCCAACTACAGTTTCTTTTTCACTTTAGGTCCAACAGTCGTTTGAAAAGCCACGTGTTAAAGCACAGATGCCCACCATTGAGCGATTGTCCATGACAAGATATTTCTACCTCTTTCCTGGAAACTAAAAATCGTAAGCATCAGGAGTTGGTGGTGGTGGGTTAAATAAAGGGAGAAGTAATTTTGGTGGTACGGCCCAATTATAAGCTCAAATGATCAAAATAATAATCTTTGTTGTAATTTAGTAATTATTTCTCTAATTTTTATTCTATGTGTATGAATTTTCTGGCTAATCAATGAGTAGACATAGTTATACCAAGGAGTGATAAGCAATGAAAAAGCAAAGTGGGAAGGAGTATAAAAGAAATGCACATGTTTCCAATTATACTTCTATTTCATTCTTCTTTTTTCTGTGTCTCCTCTCTCTCTCTCAATTTTGTGAAATAACAGGCTTGAGCTTAGTAAGGCACCCCTCCCACCTGTGAGACTATAACCAGGCGTAGAAAACCACACCCGACTTGGCAAGCACACTCTAACGCTATTCCAGCATGACTAGGAGAAAAGTGAGTCTCACCTGTCTCAACAACAAAAGATAGTTGTGCCGCAGCTCAGTTCTCCTGCCCCCTTTCCAGTTGGTGCTGTTTGCATTCATAAACCCTACTACTCTGTAGTTCAGGGTCGAGAGCTCTTTGGGGCAGGAGTCCACTCTCTATCGCCAGCAATAAAGAACTTTGAAATCTTCTCAGTATGTGACACTCCTGTGTATCAGTTCACTTGAGTACAACATCACACACACACACACACACACACACTGTATTGTGAAACACTGTATCAGACTCTGAAATAAACACACAAACAACAACAAAAAAAAATGGAGGGTCACGCCTTTTGTTCTATGACTGCACTAAGTTTAGATCCAATAATTATTTTACTCATTTATGAAAACCTTATATTGCCCTGTACCATAAGTGTGAAATTGACCTCCTTAGCAACACACATAAAACTGTATTTTACAGTAAGATTTTTCTCGACATTACAAATATTTATCCCTGCGATCTTTAGTATATGACATCCAGTGGTAAAATTGTATAGATCTAGCCACAGGACCATTTTCAGTACCTAATTCGACCAATAGGACTCTGTATGGGCACTGAGGTATTTATCTGACTGATGTTTATCACCCCTGTGCCACATTCTATTAACCAGGTAAACAGAATGTTTGCACTTATAAAGTGTATGCTCTCTAGTCAATGGAAGCAGACTCTCATATCAACAGGTAAATAAATATATTATACATCAGAAAGTGGTAAGAGTTGAGAAAAAAAATAGAGAAAAAAAGCCAAGAAGAGGTCATGGATGTTCTATTGTTACAGATTATTCAAGAATAGCATCTTTGAAATGACAAAATCAGAACAAAGACAGGACAGATTTTGGTGAGGGGGGGGGTGGATGTACTTTGTGACTCGGATGCAAGAAAAGTGTCCCAGCACAGGGAACAGCAGATACTAATTGTGGAACAGAATAAGCAGTGACACTGTATATGAAAACTAGCGAGACAATGACACAGGCAATTTAAGAAAAATAGTGACAAGCCTAGTAATGAGGATTATAGCAAATTTTTATAAAATCTTTATCATAGTTGTATAATAAACATGTGGAAATTATTTAGCACAATTTGAGAAACAACGTAATATAGCTTAGGTTGCATAGAGATCACTATTTAGTAAAAAGGGAGTGCAAAGGTCACAGATGGAAGGCAAGGGGAAGTGCCAAAAGAACATGCAGATGGAGAAGAATCCTGACTGGGCATGAGAGCGAGGCCATCTGCATCAACAGGATGACCTTGTCTTCTGTCTCTTTTCCACAGGAGGCCCTAGGCAGACCAGTCCTCCTTTGTCAACTTCAAGAAGCACCATTACCAGCACAGAGCATGCTCACATATTTATTCTTTTATAATGCAGTACAAATTAACTGTGTCCTTCCTGCATCACAACAGAGAATGAAATTTCAATTAGCATGGTGGGTGAATATAAATGGAGAGGGATAAGTTAAATGAATTTTCTTGTTTTATGTTTCATGTAATACCTGCACCTTACTGAGGCAAGGGCACTGTGACACACCTCCAGAAACAGATCAAATGAAAATGATGCCCATAATTAAAATGAGATACCACTAGGATGAATATTAGCAAAACAAAAAATTAAAACAACAACAACAACAACAACAAAACCACAAGTGCTGGTAAGGAGTTCACTAAATTGAAAACTTTGTGTACTACTGAAAGGAATTTTAAAATGTTCTAACTATCATTAAAAAAATAAAAAACACAACAGTACAAGGGTCCTGGCATGATGGCTCAGTGGCTAACTCCTTGCCTTGCAAACGACAGAATCCAAGATATGGGAGATGTCCCAGCTGCTCCACTTCCCATCCAGCTCCTTGCTTCTACCTGGGAAAGCAGTAGAGGATGACCCAAAATGTTGGGAACCTTTACCCACATGAAAGACCTGAAAGAAGCTCCTGGCTTTGGATCGGCTCAGCTCTGGCCATTGCAACCACTGGGAAGTGAACCAGCAGACAAAAGATCTTTCTCTCTGTCTCTCCTCTCTGTAAACCTGCCTTTCCAATAAAAATAAAGACACTTTGAAAACAATGTAGGATTTATTCAAAAATTTATATATATATATATCCATACAAATAACTATTATATGATCCAGAATTTCATTTCTGCATATATACTAAAAATAATTAAAAGTTGAGTCTGAAAGAGATAGTTTTAGACCCCTGTTCATACCAGTGTTATTCATGATAGCTAAAACATGGAAGCACCCATGAGAAATGAATTAACAATTTGTATAAAATACCCCTAGCAGAATATTATTCAATTTTGAAAAGGAAAGAAATCCAGGAATATGTCACAATATGATTGAACTTTCAGGGCATTACGCTAAGTGGAATAAGCCAGTCACTAAAAAACAAAAATTATAGAATTCCACTTATAAATTCAGAGTAGTCAGATTCACAGAGTTGGAGAATGGATTGATGGTTTCAATGACACCCTACAGTGGTCACTTTGTGGGCATCACAAAGTGGCATACAAACAGTAATGAAGCTAGCTGACTGCAGATTTGGCCAAACATTTGTGATAGTCTCAATATCTGACCATCTGCTCATGGGAGAACTGACTTGTTATTGAAGATTGCCATTAATTTCTTTAAGGGCAGCACTATCTGAACTAATTATGTTACACTGAACCCATCTCATTAAAGATTCTGTTACTTCTTTCCACCACGGAGACCAAGTTTCCAACACTTGACTTTTCATGGAATTCATCCAAATCATACCCAACATATGGGAGGGAGCTATATATTCAGTAGTATAAAGTTTCAGTTTTACAATATGGAAAAATTCTGGAAGTGGATGGTCTTGATCACTGCAAAATGCCATGTACGTATAGCCCAGGGGATGGGACTTAAAATACTTAAGGTGGCAATTTTTAAATTACACATGCATGCATGAGTGTGTGTATTCACAATATTTTTTTTTTAAAAAATCCTGCTATAATTAGAAGCGAGAGGAGATAGAAGCACGAAGGGCAACTATGATCAATTTATACACAAGAAAATTAAGCTACAGATCCACAATGATGGATAAAAAAACCAAAGCTATCTATAGGACAATATTCTGTGGAAAGTAAGTTTATATTATTGAAAATATTTTTCATTGAATATATAGAATGGATTTTCAGAAAATTCATGGAAATACAGATTATGAAAAAAAAAGGCTACACATGGATTTCAGGGTTTCAAAATTTCTCTGCAACAAATTTTTTCCCAAAAAATTTTGAGGAACCTCATATTATTTAATATTTTGAAATTCATGATGAAAAGAGGTGGAAGTCATGCTTTCATCAAAAACAGACCAGCATAGAAATTAGGGAGTGTAAGGGACTTGTATTTTATTTTCCTATGAGATAGTCAATGGCATTGTTCATATTGTGTTCTCATACCAGGTAATATACAAAATGGGCGTTACTGCCAGGTAAGTCTGTTCAGAGGCACAGATGTGTGAATCTTCCAGCCATCTGGCTGTGGCTTGGAAAATCAGTGCCGGGCCAGGCTTCCTGCTGGGGATCCTAAATCCCCCATCCACCACTGCTAGGCGGTGGGAGGGTCCTGGGCTTGTCCGACTGGTCACCCAGTTGTGAGCCCTGGGGTCTTGGGGGTGTGGAATTACTGCCTAGGGATATCCATGGATAAAGCCACTCTGCATGTAGGCAATGAATGAATCCTGAGGTACACCCAATGATATGGCCACGGTACTTGCAGGTAGTTTGGAGGGGAGAGGCTGGAAGATCTGTATGGGTCAGATTCATGTACCAGCCCACATGGGAGTCCTGAGTTGGGTCTGTTAGCATAGAGCATTGCTGACCACCACACACCACTCCACCCAAAAGCTAGGGCTAGGGATCTGTCTAGCAGGACTATCTCCCAGTACCTGACTGAATGTCAGAACAGGGAACAGATCACGTTATGTAGGGCCATGACACTAACCAGCATGCGAGAGAACCAGGTCCGGGGGGGGGGGGTAGATTTTGTGGAGAATATGTGGGCCAACTCCTGTGGAAATACAAGTCCCACAGGTTAGCTTAAGAGTTGGGGTGGGGATGGGCTGAGTTAGGTGTGATTATGGAACCTGCCAAAGCTCATGGGTACAGGGACCAGGAATAATGTGGGCAGGTCCAGGCTACAGCACCTCCATGGGCATCTCAAAACAGGGTGTGGGGCTGGCTGGGCTGCAACATTCACCAGTTCATACTAAGCCAAGCTGGAGGAGCAGGCTATGCCGTGCAAAGGCCTAGGACCAGATGGCTTGCATGCAATCTGAGCCTGGGAGTCAGCAGTGTAGGGGAACTTGGAAACTTCCCTAGTAGGTCATAGCTCCTGCTGATAAGCACGTGGTCCAGGCCTAGGAGTTAGGCAGGCGGGGCAAAATAGCTCCAACTATTGGCATGAAATCTGTGCCTGGGAAAAGGCTTGGTTGGGGCGCTAATGGAATGCCGCAGCTGAGTGGTGGTTCCCATTGGTGAGTGCAAGTGCCAGAGTGGGGACTGTGCTCTGCTCTGGATATGGCTGCAGTATCCCTTGGCATAAGTGTGAACTGGATCTGAGGTGCACCAGAATAGGCTAGACTCCAGCACCCACTGATGCTCATGAGAACCAGGGTGTAGGACAGACGGGTCTAGGTCTCTGTCAGTGCTGAGCCATATGTGAGCTTTGTCTGGGTATGGATCAGGTTTGGCTGGGCAGTAACATCCGAACTGGAAATGGGTGAGGGTCAGTCTGGAAAGGCTACTGTACTGTCTAGGACAGGAGATGGACTAAGTCAGGCTGGGCCATGGACCCACTGATGAGCACAAGATCTGACATTGAAGAGTTTCAGATGGAGGAGCTTGGGAAACTCCTTGTCAGGACACAGTTCCTGCTGGTGAGCACAAGGACTATGATAGAGAGCAGTCCAGACCAAACCAGGTTAAAGTACCCACAAGCATACATTTGGCACAGGTTGGGGGTTAACCAGGATGGACCAGTTCATATCACTCACTGGCGAATCCAAGCTCCAGAATGGAATGTGGGTCTGGCTGGGTTGGAACACAACACAAGCCAGCTCACATGAGGCCCAGAAATGGAGTTAAATGTGCTAGGCTGGGCTAGGTTAGGCTGTAGCCCCAACCAGTGTGAGCTGGATCTGGGGTGGGCTGTGCCTTGCCAGGCTACAGCATCCAGTGGCAAATGTCAAGGTGAGAAGGGCCATGCCAGACTAGGCCACAGCACCCAATCAGCACAAGTGAAACCCAGGGGATAGGGAGAGAAAGGAGTTGGGGGTTCATGAGGCTCCCCTGCTGACCACCACTCCCACTGTAAGTGTGAGAGTTGGAATGCTGGCAGACCAGGCCAGGTAAGACATCTGCTGGCCTCATGTGAACTGGATCAGGGGAAGGCCAGGTTGGGTTGACTGTACCTACAGTTGCATGCATAAGCCAGAGTGGGTGTGGGGTGGTTGGGCTTTGCCACAGCATCAGCTAGCAGATAATGCCACAGGAGGCAAATTCTGTCAAGCTAAATTATAGAACCACCTGGAGTGTGGAAGATACTGAAGTAGAAGCGAGCCCAGCAGAGAAACAGTAGCCACTTCCCTCTTGGGTTGCCACTCTGACTGGTAAGCATGAGAACCAGGAATGGGGTAGCATGGCTAGACCAAATAGCACCTGCTGGCATGTGTGTGGGCTGGATAGAGGGGCTGATTGGGTTGAAATAGGCTTTAAAGCCCATTGATATGCATAAGAGCTGAATGGGATGTGGGATAGAGTGAACCAGTCTGCTGAACACACTGGCAAGCATGGAATCCAGGGCAGGGGGTGGGCCTGGTAGGGGTTATTGCAGATCACCCCACTGGGCTGCAGCTCCCCCACTTGTTACATGGCCAAGTGTGTGGTGGATGGGATCAGGCTGGACTGTAACACCAACTGGCTTGAGTAGAGGACAGGGCTGGAGATAGAACTAACCCAGCAATTGCAACCACCAGTGCAAACCTAAGCTGCTATGAGCAACAAACGGTCACAGATCCTGAATTGACAAGTACACACAAGAATCAGGTCTGGGATCACCTTAGATGAAGTTTCATTGGGAATCCACCTAACTGAACTGCTGGACTCAGACACAGAACTCCAACAATTGAGAGAATTGCAGGTTCATGGTCTGACTGTGGAGTGCATGTGTCAGAGCTGGATCTCCTCAATGGCTTAGATGGAGCAGTGGACAGCATATCCATGTGCACATGGAGAATATAGCATTCCATTGGGGCCTATAGAGGATACATTAATACCATAATAGAGGTTGGAGGACAGAACAACTTGATAAATTACCCCTAACCAAGTGTTGGCAGTGAAAATCTGCACAAAGACTCTAAGGTGGACTACATCAACCTATGGGTTCTAGAGGCATTTCATCATGCTTGGATGGTGAGATAGGCAGAATTCAGAACTGTTGAACTATCAAAGCCTCTTTAGCAGAGCTCTCGGAGCATGCCCCCATCGGGGACCCTGAGGTGGTGTAGGTTTAACCAAGACCCTGAGATAAAAGAGTCACCATGATGAAATCCCTCCATTAATGCAAAAATCTGATTTTCAGTCTTCCCAGTAATATACCTATCCTAGGAATACATAGTGAGCAATCAGATATAACTGTAATGCTATATCATTAAGAGCTCGCAAACTAAAATTAAACCTTCACAACTCCATAGATGTATACAACATTTTGACATGACAGAATTTTACTCCATTTGGCAAAAAATATATATATACATATGTGTGTATATATACATATATTTTATATACCTATATAATCTTATATATTCTAATATATTGGAATATATAAAAGATATAACATATGTATATATAATATATATTAGAATATATATAAT